CGCCCCCCCGCAGGACTCACCGATCTCCCCCAGCCAGGAGCCACCGCTGCGCGACTCGTCCATGGCCCTGCCCCGAACTACAAGTCCCAGCAGCCCCTGCTCACCGAGGGGGCTGATCCCCCTCCGACTCGCGGACCGCTCCGCCCACACTGCTGCGTCAGAGCGGGCGGGGGCCGAGGGGGCCAGCGCAAAGCCTGCTGGGATTTGTAGTTTTTCTTTGCTGGCCAGGGATGATGCTGTGTCATCGCTGCTTGCGGGGTGATGCACCGTGCAAGGGCCTCAGGGCGTGTCTCTCTGCTGCTGGGGGGCCAGGCAGAGCCCCCCCCTCCCACCTAGCCCTGCCTGCAGCATCCATGCCTGGGTTCTGCCCAGTTACTGTCATTGCCAGCGAGTTGGGGTCGGAGAAGCCCCAGCCTTAGAGACAAGCCCCCAGGCCCTGAAGAAAGGCAGGACAAAGAGAGGGGAAACTGAGGCAGGGAAATGGTGACGTGGGTTGCCCAACAAAGATGGTCACCGACGAAGCCGGGCCTAACACCTTGGTCTCCTGACTTACATCCAAGGGCCTATCCCTTAGGCCACACTGCCTCTCCAGCATCACCTCCATTTCTGTGGCCAACTCTCCCCTCCCCTATTGTGTGCCTTTTGGGGAGTCCCATTTAGGGTGGTCAGGTGTCCGATTTTGAACCGGACAGTCGAGTAGTTGAGCTTTCTGTTTGGGAAACAAACTGAGAAAATAGAAATGAGAAAATAGAAATGTCCGGCATTTTCTAAATAAGATGAATGTAGATTGTGATGTAATGTCAAGTGTGTCCGGTATTTTTGTTGAAACCATCTGGCAACCCTAATCCCATTCTTCGATGATACTTCTCTAAAGGGCTCTGAGACACCCTTCTCGAAAAAGACACCATCTAAGAATCTGCCTAGAGCAGATCTGAAAAGCCCAATAAATGATTTTCTTTGTGGCTTTCAGGACACCTACGAGGGTAGCCCAGGCTAATAAGTAACAGAGAGGTAGGCCAGGCTAATAAGTAACAGAGAGGTAGCCCCGTTAGTCTGATCGTGGTAAAACAAAAAAAGCAGTCATGTAGC